AATAGGCAGTTTCCAGATGAAGAAATCAAAGCTATCTATAGCCATATAAAAAAATGTTCTAAATCACTATTGATTACAGAAATGCAAATTAAAACAACTCTAAGGTACTACCTCATACCTATCAGATTAGCTAATAAGACAAAAAAGAAAAATGATGGGTTTGAGAGGATGTGGGAAAACTGGGACACTAATACATTGTTGGTGGAGCTGTGAACTGATCCAACCATTCTGGAAAGCAATTTGGAACTATGCCCACAAGGCTATAAAACTCTGCATACTCTTTGATTCAGCAATACCACTGCTAGATCTACATCCCAAAGACATCCAAAAAAAAAAAAAGGGGAAAGGACCTATTTGTATAAAAACATTTATAGCAGCTCTTCTTTTTGCAGCAGCTAAGAATTAGACAACGAAAGGGTGCCCGTCAACTGGGAAATGGCTAAACAAGCTGTGGTATATGACTGTAATGCAATATTACTGTGCTATAGGAAATGACAAGGATGATTTCAGAAAAACCGGGAAAGACTTACATGAACTGATGCAAAGGGAACAGAACCAGGAAAACATTATATACAGTAACAGCAATATTGTTCAATGAATTGTGAATGATTCCGTTCTTCTCAGCAATACCATGATCCATGAAAATCCCAAAGGACTAATGATGAAGTGTACTATCCACCTCCAAAGAAAGAATTGATAGGTTGAATGCAGACTGAAGCATGCTATTTTTCACTTTCTTTCACTCTTTTTCTTTTATTCAAGTCTTCTTGTACAAAATGTGGAAATGTTTTACATGACTGCACATGAATAACCTATATGTGATTGCTTACTGTCTCTGGGACAGTGGAGGAGAGGAAGGGTAGAATTCAGAACCCAAAACTTTTTTTAAAAGTTTAAAAATTGTTTTAACGTAATTGGGGGGGGAAATAAATAAATAAATAACAATTAGAGTTGTTTGAAAGTGGAATGAGATACCTAGAAAGGTTCCCCCTTCCTTGGAAGTTTTCAAACAGTGGCTTAATGACCACATCAGGTATATCACAATGTGAGCAAGCCTTATTTCCCACCCTTTCCTAGTTCAGAACCTCTCACAGAATCTAGAGCTATGACTCCAGAAGTCATCTATATAGTCCATCCTGTGAGTGAACAGAATCCCTGACAAAGTCCTCCAGCCTTTGCTTAAAGACTTCTACTGATAAAGGAGGAATCCACTACCTCCCAAGAGAGCTGCTTGGTCCTATTCTAGGCCACAATTACCTGCTCGGTCATCTCATAGACACACATCAATGTGCTAGTACTAAACTATTAAACAAACGGTCCTGAGTCAGTCTTAAACTTTTCAATGTACCTTCAGCATGATTTACAGGCCACTGCAGTGGTGTCAAACTCAAACAGACCCTGGTGGCTGTAAATATGCAGTCAATAGACTTAGAAAACTACAAATTAACATTATTTGTGTTATACTGTATTTTTATTGTGATAAATGTTTCCCAATTTTATTTTAATCTGGTTCAGGCCTACCACTGTGGGAGTTTTGTGGGTATAACCCAAGTTCGATATCTCTGGTCTAGAGAATGGCTTAGGAGAGTTAAGTCTGCTCAGGGTATGAATTTGAGATATGAACAAACTTAAGAACCTGTGTTATTTGTATAAGCTCATAAAGTACCACCATCAGTCTGAAGCTAACTGTGCAAGGTAGAGTTTCACAGAGCCCAATAAAGGCCATAAGGCCTTATCCCTATGAGTACAGGGCCAAAGTCAGCTATGGGGTGGGTCAGATTGTCTCCTACAATTACAATGCTCAAGCATCTCACAGCATAGATCTGGAAAGGAAATAACAGAAAATGCCTTGCTTCCCCACTCATCACTTTCCCATGACCATTAGAAAGTGAGGGAAACTAACACATAGTCAGAGACGGGAACTTGCTTATAGAATAAAGAAAAGTTAGGAAGCCATTTTTGTTAGCTGCAGGGAGGTTGGGAAACAGGGACAGGGCTAGAGAGTGGCACCTTTCCAGCACAAATTTTACTGTCCAAAGAGCGGGAGTTTTTCATCACCCTCCCATCTAAGGCCTCAACTGGCCAGAAAGGCTATTTTTCTTTCTTTCTTTTTTTTTGGCTAGGCAATGTGGTTAAGTGACTTGCCCTGGGTCACACAGCTAGTAAGTGTTAGGTGTCTGAGGCCGCATTTGAACTCAGGTCCTTCTGAATCCAGGGCCAGTGCTCTATCCACTAGCTGCCCCCAAGGATATCTTTCAAGCCTTTTCAAACCTACTTTGCATATGAATGTCTTGTGTATAGTCTCTTCCTCTTTATCCCTCCATAGTACAGGCATTAATTTACCACAGAGAGGGATTTACCACCAAAGAGGAATTAAAATTGGTAGGATTCTGTTCATCTTAATGAAACATCCTGTGAAACTATAGAAATCCAGCAGTACATTTCACTTTTGGATAATTCTTCTAATCAGTCAGGCAGGATTCTTTACCCTCTCAAGTATGTTTATGCTGTTTTGATGTCTTTGCCAGTACCGTTACCTAGTATGGGAAAACTCTTTCCTTGTCCCCACCTTTCTAAATCCTTCCTATTCTTCAAGCTTGAATCTCACCATGATGCTTTCTCTAACTACAGCATTCCACGTTGACTTCTACCATCTTGGAAATCCAACCGTAGAAGAGTCAGTACCACAATACAGTTTTGTTTCCCCAGGGAGATAGACAGAAGGGTAAAAATAGTGCAGGAACAAAATAAATACTTCTTGACTGATTATATGTAACTGTTCCCTTAGCAATCATGTCATATTTTCAAAGAATCCGATATTGGTCATTTTATCCCTAAATTGTGTGGCTGATAATTCCTTTTTGAGTAAACTCCCTGTTTGGAGAATTCTGTGACTGAATATACCTGGATTTGGTATAAAATGTATTTTCAAGTAAATTCACATCCCCTATTTGTGAAATGCTTTCTAAACAGCACAAGTCAATCAAAAAAAGAATTTCTTTAAGTCATAATGACCCAATGAATAGGTGGAATAATCAAGATACCTACAGTTTTTTTACCCTTTAACTAGTTTTTTCCAGAATAGAAATTAAGTAACGAAATTTAACAGAAACTAAATATAAAACATTAATGATCAAAGAAAGGAAATACAATATGACACCATGATATTTTGTCCAGTGTAAGAAACTTTGAGGTTTTTTTTTTTTAAGTTTCAATGTCCATTCACACCACAGCAATGCCAATATGCAAAATGTGTATTTATACAACACTATCATTTATGCCCCAAATTTTCAATCAAAAAATGTCAATACTGCCTAGATTAACTATCATAGATAGTATTTTAAACACAAATGGGTTTGAGTTGGTGGAAGTTATGTAAAATGGGGCTTTGAACAAGTAACAAGCCTGAGTTCCACAGAGCTTTTCTGAAGAGCAATTATTTAAATCATCTGTGTTTTCCACTCCTCCTGAAGTAGGAAAGGCAATCAACTCGAGCTTTAATATTACAATCTGCATTCCATTTCAAAGTAATTCCTAACTACATTCAGTTTTTAGAACCTGCTTTGGAACTTAACAGTAAAGAAAAAAATCAAGCTGCACCACTCTGGGACCTAATGTTAATTCACTTCTAATAATGCTACACAAATTGTTCCAACTTGGCAAAAAGGCCACCCTGACTTTGGCGAGCTTTAATTATTTGATTACTCTAAAACACCCACCAAAACCATATTTCTACAACCATGGTAAAGCAGCACATAGCATAGAAAATTCCCAAAGACTCTTGTTTTTAAAAAGCAGCCTATTCAAAGTAAGCGTTAATAAGATGTGTGTACATCTCTTAAATTTTCATTACTTAATGCCTTATTTTTGAATAAAAAAAACCAAATGTGCCAGCATTTCACATATCCTAGATCATATATTTACAGACTTTTTGATTCCACAAGATTTTAAAGACATTAAATGGCACGTAAAAATTCTAATACTGCCCCTTCCCCCAACTTTTTTTAATTTAATCTTCAATAGCATTAACCAAGGTACATTTTAATTGTCTCTGCCCACCTGACATATCTGGGTTTCTTCCCATCAAAATAACCCTGGTTTCATAAGAAACTAGCCAAATAAATCTGAAATTTTGGTACCTTTTGACATTTTAAACACAGCTGGCTACTTTAGTGTATTCATAATTAAGTCATGAAGCCTTGGCTACAGGGAATCCATCTACAACTATACATACTTTTCAAATTATGCCAACTTTTAAATAACAGAAAAGACACCATCAAAAATGGCTCCTGTGACAGAAATTACAACTAGGAGCCAAGGAAAGAATAGGCTGCAGTATTCCAATACTCCCTCACGGCATGGAACATTCTGGGTTCTCAAAGGCTAAGCCAACAAAGCATACACTCTGGAAGGTTCTACCAGATTTAGTCCCCAAGACAGACTAAGTGTGTTGTCTAAGGACAGAATGCTGTTTACAAGGTGACAAAAACATTTTAAATGGCTCTTGGTCCTGTGTGGTCCCTTTCTGCTTCCTGTGCAATCATGGTGGAGTGGCCAAAATGAGGCAGAGCATAAGAACTATTAGCTATCCATCAGATAACTGAAATAATGAGCAGAAATGGTCTTGGGAAGCCCAAGACTCTTTAAAAGCACTTGGTATTTAACTAAGTTGAAGCATTACATTCATTTTAAAGATCAACCAAGAATAAGTCTTAGCAGTTGTTTCTACAACATTCAAATGCAACTTTCTTGAAATCAATATCAGTAAAATGCAGCAGAATACATTTGTTTGAGAAATAACATTCTAATCATTCTTTTGATACCTCATTAAGAGGTTTGATTCCTCAATAAGATCCTTTTCCTCACCTGCAGTCTGATAGTGTATAATCCAAAAGTGAAACTGTCAAGCAGCTAATGGTGTTAAATATTCCTCACACTGTTATATGTCACAAAGAAAATGAAATAAAAATTCATAAAATTCAAGAATAACAAGAAACAAATGACTGTCATAGCACTTTGATTTTCCAAGCATTTTTTCCAAAGCAGATTTTTAAAAGATAGTAAATAACTAAATGTACATTTATTCAAATTGTGCTAACAAAATTAACTGTACTATTTATTTTTATTAACTCTTTTCCTTCTAATACATTAAAATAATTGGCATACTCTTACAGTTTCAACAAACTAAACCGGTGTCTTAAACATTTTTGCCTGAAACTTGCCCTAAGGTTAAATTTGCTAATTTTTTTGACTCTACCCACATAGCTAAATCACATTTTTTTTAAAAAGGGAAGCATATTAGATTAACAGTTATTTTATATGGCACTATACCTTGGAAGATACACAGAATATTCTTCTGGTAATCTAGTGACTTACAGAACTTGGAAATAAAGTGTTATGTTTGATTTGCATGAAATTATAGATATTTCTCTGTGCTGCATAAATACACACCACACAAATACAATAAATGTGATTTGGCCCCTAGGATCATGAAATATAGTACTGTGGTATGACCAACAATCTATAAGGAATTGGGGGAATTAAAGAATATATTAGATGAGTTCAAATTATCTTAATGGTTTTTTACTCCTTTGATAAAATTTCACCATTTTTTCATTCTTCACATTCTCATCTTGAACTCGTACATAAGAGATGACCTTTTTCACTTTTATTTTTTAAACTATGTTCTGGAATATAAAGATTTTAATGTGTTATATAAATAATATACTAGTGATGCTGTATATAGACAAACAGACCTCTCTGGGACAAAAAAATACAAGTGCTGTGTATCAGACCACTGAGGTTGTACTTTCAGGATTTACTCGAATAAGTCTAGATGCATTCCTCAAGTCTTGGAGTTGCTTGGCAGGTTTCCCTACACCTTGTTCAAACCTTTTTTCCACCACAGGGAGGACTGTTTCATATAGAAAGGATGCATTTTGTCTGATAAAGGCTTTCTTTTCTGGGTCCTGTTCACATCGAAGACTGTAATCCACATGTTGAACTGCAACCAAAATTATTTCCACCAGACTCTCTAGAAGCACCATATGCAGCTCTGGAAAATACAACTTCAGAGCTTCTTCCAAGAAGCCCATAGTTTGTTTAGTGAAGGCCACTACTGTGTAGCTTAGGTTCACCCAGCAGTCATCTCCTGTGTACTGCTCAAAATTGCTCACCCCACAGCTTTTCATCTCTTCTTTGAGTTTCCCCAAGGCCTCTGGAGTCATCAAGTTCATCCTCCTCCACATTTCCTCAGAGTTTCGGTGCTTGGTGGCCTCAATTATAATTTCTTTATAACTGTGCAAAGCCCCTTGGATGTCCTTCACCAAGAGAGCATGGATGATGAAAGTAAGGTCTAACCCAATATCACCCAATTGCTGGCAATGTTCCTTAGCCACCTTTACACACTCAGCTGCTGTAGACAAGCTCTCTTTGCTGTCAAATACCTGCTTGCTAAAAGCATCCACAAACATGCCCATAGCTGAACGGGCCCAAACAATAAAGGCAGAGTAGCAACCACTGTTGGTGCCTGCAAAATCAGTCTCAAACTCCCTAGCAGTCTCAAGAAGGCTGGTGAAGAACACATGGCATAATTTATGAATATAGAGTAAAGTGGCACCTTCAATTCGAAGCTGTCTAATGGCAGTGTGCACAGCTGCTGCCCTATTTCTCAGAAACAGTTCACAAGCCTTGGTACACTGGCCAAGTCGTATTAACTGAGAAACTGCCCTTCGAGTGGCCTTAGGACCACCTCTTAGAGAACGATCCGGGGAAAGTTCAAAGACTAGCACTTCAGTGAGTTGCCTGACTCGCTCATCCACTTTGGCCTTCAACTCCTTTACAGGAGGTGGGCACGGCTTGCCCTCCAGATAGTGGTTTAACTTATCCAACAAGTCCACTGCCCCTTCAAAGTCCCTCTGGGCAATACAGACATCCAGATCCTCTGGCAACTCCTGGATCCATTCCATTGATAAGTCCACTTTCTCCTCAACCTCCGGGGAAGTAGGCTCCTCCTCTTCTTCATCATCCTCAAACGGGTTTGTGGCCTGGGAAGAAACATGGGGTGGGCCCCGCGGAGCTGCCGCCTCCTCCTGTTCCCTCCGTCTTTTTTCGCTGAGGGCCCTTTTGGTTTCCTCCAGCACTTCCAGCCACTCCCTTTTGATCTTGGCATTCTCCGCCTGAAAGATTCGGCTCTCGGGGAACATCAGCAGCTTGAACATGTCCTTCATGGGCGGGTTATCCTTGACATTCACCACCGCCAATCGGTCCAGGGGGTAGAGGGCATTGTAGCGATACATGCCCCTGCGCTGGGGCAGCCAGGTGGCCACCAGCAGACAGTCGTTCATGAGAAAACCATGCACCCGTTGCAGCTGAGCCATGTGGTCCGCCTCATACTCCACCAGGTCTCCGTTGTAGACCAGGTACTGCCCGGGGGCCTCCAGCAGGTGCCTGCAGCCCTCCACTTTCTCCAGCAAGGTGGTCAGCGTCCGCTGCTTGCCTTCCTCGCCCGCACTCTGGCTGTCCCGGGCGGCGCCTCCGTGGCCGGAGAAGAAGCCGGCGGGGCCGCGGAGGTGGTCTCGACCTCCGGGGCCGCCGGCGCCGCCTTCTTCGGCCCCGGCGGCGGCGGCGGCTCCCGCGGCGGCGGCGGGGAGCAGGGTGAGCGGGATGCTCTCGAGGCTGCTCTTCTGCTCCGTGAGCAGGTGGCTCAGCTGGTACATCTCGCTCTCCAGGTAGGAGATCTCGCGCGCCGTCTCGATGAACTGCCGGTAGTTCTGGTACACATTGCGCTTCAGGTTCTGCGCCGTTTCCTCGGCCAGCGCCTGGATCCGCTGCCGGTGTTCCTGCAGGTCCCGGTCCCCGTCCGACTGCTGCGACAGCTGCTTCACGTACAGCCGCGCCTCAAAACCGCTCGACTCCAGCTGCCGCCGCAGGCGGCTCGCCCCGCTGTCCGACATCGCCATGGCCATCGCTTCCCCCTGTCACTGTCACGGTCTCCGCAGCCGCCGAGACCCACCCAACTCCGACGGAGTTCAGGGACCTAGGGAGAAGGGCGGAAGCGAAGTGGATGCGCCTGCGCGGGGAGGAGTCGGCCGGCGCTGGCTGCCAATGATTGCGTGCGCGACGAGGGCGGGCTAAAGGAACGTCAAGAAAATGAAGCCACTTGGCTGCTGCGCCTGTGCAATAAAACAAAAAACAAAAAGAAACCCACTGAAGACTAAGAAGAGGAAGAGGAGGAGGAGGAGGAGGAGGCTGAGAAACTCCCTTTCCGGTCCTTTTGGCTCTGACGATTAAGCCCTTTCAGTGCCGGAAGTTGATTGTTTTGTCGCCTCCGCCTTTTCTTGTACTCTCGCGAGATCAGTTTCCGTTTCCGACAAGCTGATTCAAAACACTGTGGTTCCTCCAGTAGGAGCGCAGTGGCGGCGGACTGGTGTGTGAGGTTGCGTCTTTCGCTGTTTTCCGGGTTCCCTCCCCACGAGTTCCTTCCCGCTCTTATGGCCGCGGTGGAAGAGGACTTTGTGCTGGCCCAGAAGCTGCAGGAAGAGTGGAACACGGAGGTCCCAGCATTGGTCCAGCCCCGGAAGGAACCCAAGTCGCTGGTCGACGAGGCTTGGGAGCTCGTGGACCCCAACCCCGATCTCCGAGCGCTGTTCGTGCAGTTCAACAAGCTGTATTTCTGGGGGCGGCTGGAGGCGGTGGAGGTGAAGTGGAGCTTTCGAATGACGCTGTAAGTAAATCCCCTGTCGTGCTGTGGGGTCAGGGGGAGGGGGACTCTAGAAGCCCGGGCTGCCCCGCCTGGGGACGGTAACTGCGCCCCCTGGCTCCCAGTGCGGAGCCGTCGGTGGCGAGCTCCTCTGCACCGGCCCAGATTTCTTCCTGCAGTGATAAGCCAAAAATTAGTTCTGCCCTCTTGTCCTTTTATCTCTCTCTCCTTCCTCTTTGCTTTTAGATGCAGTGAACTGGGTCGGAATATCTGAGGAGTTTCGTAATTTTGAACCTATCTTGCACTGAAGCAAAATCTCATTGAGAACATAGGTATCTATTAGCAACATTGCCGCTTGAATCAAATAATAGTGGCCTTAGTGTTTACAAGTGCATCACTTCTTACTTATGCTTCAGTAGTAAGAATTATGTTTTAATGGATGTGGATCTTTCTTACTGCTGCAGAGCCCTCCAGACTTTGGTAGATATGAGCTTCTGTGATCCTCTCCCGCCTTTTAACTCTCTTCTCTCCCCGCCCCCCAGCACTCAAAAATCACCACCTGGTAATCAGTCCTCTATCATAGTGGTTGGATTTAGAGTTTGAAGGGACTTCAGAAGTCATCTAATTCAGCTTGGAATCACTGGACCTGAATTTAGTTGCCACCTCTGCCAAATGATACGTGTTTGACCTTGGGCAAGTCACTTAATCCTTCTTAGAACTTAGTTTCTTCATCTGTTAAGTTGAAAGGGTTTAAATCTTCCATCCTGCCTTATTTGGGAAGGATAATGAGTTCTGTTTTAAACATGTTGAATTTGAGGTATCTCAGGAACATCCTGTTTGAAATGTCCAGTTGGCATTTGGTCATGTGCAGTTGAAGCTCCAGAGAGAGACTTGGGCTGGATCGCTACATCTTCGAGGCCTCTACATGGAGTTGATAGTTAAACCTTTGAAAGCTGTAAAGAAAAAAGAGAGGTCTAGGAGACCCATAGTTAGGAGGCATAATGTAGGTGGTCAACTAGTAAGAGAATGAGAAGTAGCTGTTTACATGTAGGAAAACTAGGAGAAAGTAGTATCGCAGAAACAGAAAGAGTGTTCAGAAAGTGCCCTTTTATGTGAGAAAATTTTTACCATTCCACCTTTTCCTGTCCTCCTCCTCCTAGGGTATCCCCCTTTCTCACCACCACCACCCCTTTTTTAAAAAAATCATCTCAGTGATTTAGACTTTATGTCCTCCATAGATTTTAACTACCCTAATAATGGTAAAGTTCTTAGGAGTCACATGTATCACCTTCCCATATAAGAATGTAAACAGTTTAACTTTACTGTGTCTTTTATGATTACTGTTTAATGTGTACCATTTTATTCTTCTCTTGAGTCATGTGTTTAAATGTCAGATTTTCTATTCATCGCTATTATTTTTATCAGGAATGCTTGAAAGCCTTCTATTTCATTAAATAGCCTTTTTTTTTTCCTTTAAAGGATTATACTGTTTTTCTGGGTAGGTTATTCTTCTTGGTTATAATCCTAGTCTCTTTGCCTTCCAAAATATCATTTTCAAAGCCTTCCTCTTCTTTAACATGGAAGCTGCTAAATCTTGTATGATCCTAACTATCTTTCCATAGTATTTCAGTGGTTTTTTTCTGGCTGCTTGAAATATTTTTGATTTCATTCTGGGAGTTTTCATTTTGGGATTGCTTTGGGTAGGTTCTTTCAGTTTCTAATTTGCCTGGTGGAACTAAGATTTCCTTGATAATTTCTTGAAATTTGATGTCTAGCTCCCTTTTTTGATGATGTCTTTCAGGTAGTCTAATAATTCTTAAATTATCTCTTCTTAATCTACTTTCCAGGTCAGTTTTTCCAGTGAGAGAGTTTACATTTTCTTCTATTTTTTGTTTCATTCTTTTGACTTTGTTGTTTCTTGATGTCTCATGGAGTTCTTAGCTTCCACTTGCTCATTTCTAATTTCTAAGGAATGATTTTCTTCAGTGAGCTTTTGTACCTCTTTTTCCATTTGGCAAATTCTGCTTTTTAAGGAGTTCTTTTCTTCAGTGAATTTTTGTGCTGCTTTCACCATTAGGCCAATTAGGTTTTTTTAAGGTATCTTCAGTATTTTTTGTGCCTCTTTTACCAAGATGTTAATTGTCTTTTCATAATTTTCTTGCATCACTCTCATTTCTTTTCCCAATTTCTTCCCTACCACTTGTATCTGTTTCTTTAATGCTTTCAGGACTTCTTATTGGACTTGGGTCCAGTTAGCTTTTTTTTTTTTAAGACTTTGCTCTGTAGCTGTTGTATTCTTCTGCCACTGTAGTAGCTTTTTATAGTCAAGTTCTTTTTTTTTGTTGTCACTTGTCCTTTTCCCATCTTCTTTTTGATTTTGCACTTTGTTAAAGTTGGACTCTGCTTACCTGGGGGTGGGGAGGCCCTGTCTCAAGCTTCAGGCTTTTTTGTGTGCTATTTTCAGAACTAGTTCTAGGGTTTTGCAAGTTTTCGGTGCTTTCCCAGGTGATGGTGATGGTGATGGTGATGGTGATTCAAGATGAGCCGTGGTCCCACTCTCTTAGTCTTTGATCTAGTCTTTACCGAGTAAGGGCCCCTCCAGAGAGTTACTGGAGTTGCTGCTGCTCCTGTCATCCCTACTTCCAAGGTCTATTGCTTATGCTGCCACTGCCAGCCCTGCATTCTGAGCCAGCTCCCACCCCAGTGTCACAGACCTCTTCTGCTGACCTGCTAAGTTGTCTTAGGCCAGAAAAATGTCTCACTCTGACCTTTTGTTGGCTCTTTGCTGGCTGCTCCAAAGTTTGATTTAAGTTCTGCCACTTGTTTTATTGGATTGTCTACAATCCATTTATAACTAAGGTTATGAAAGTTAGGTATATGTTTTACACCATTTCTGTATATTGCTTTATTCTGAAATATTTTGTTCTCTTTTTAAGTTCTCTTAAGTTAGGGCCCTGTCTCTAGGATTAATTTTGCTTAACCCATTTTTATGCAACCTCTTCAAAATGGTAGTCCTAACGCACAGGTTTGACCATATCACTTTACTACTAGAGAAGTTTCTCTTGCTCCCTATTGCCACCAGTATAAACTATAGACTCCTCTTTTCCTCATTTAAAACCCTTCACTGTCTGATGCAAGCCTGTCTTTCCAGGCTGATTACTCATTAGGCCTTTACATGGATTCTCTTGTCACAGTCAGATTGGCCTACTTGCCATTCCCCATACATCCTCATCCCCTTACCATCTGATCCTGGACTCTGCCTCTGGGGGCTCTGGGCTTAGTAGATGAGCTTTCTACCTTACTTGGGGTGCAACGGCAGAAGCAGACCTTTACTTCACTCCCCCTCACCTTGTCTTTATCCTTTACAAGGTAAACTCCTTGAGGGCAAAGGATTATCTTGTTTGCTTGTATTTGTATCCCTAGTATTTAGCACTATCCCTAGCTCATAAGTAAGCTCTCTTAAGGCATTCCTGAGGTTCCTTTTCCTGTCTTTGATTCTTTTCCTCAGGCTCTACTGCCCCCCATCTCTGGTATGCTTACCCTCCTCATCTCTGCCTCTTAGAACACTGAGCTCCTTTCAAGGCTTTCAGCTCAAGTGTCACCTTCAGTAATAACTCTTTCATGATTCTGGAATTGTTAGTTCCTCACCCCAAATTACTTTGTATTTATTTTGTATGTATTTCTGTGTACATGTTGTTTCCCTCCAGTGTAATATAAGCTCCTTAAGAAGAACAGACTTTTTTATTCGAGTACAGGTCCTGGTTTATATAGTAATCACTTAAATAATGCAAATAATGCTTGAATAATTTACTCACTCAGGAATTAGAATGGGACTTTGAAGGACCAGGAACTGTTACCTTATTTTTTCTTTCATGGGTTGCCATGGCAAGGAATTTATCACCAAATGGCTAACCTACTGGAGAAGAACAAATTGGGACCAAGGCTGCTCCTCAGGAAGCTGGCATCAGCAGTCTGTTCGCTTGACTGTGCTGGAACCCTTTCTATCATGGTAGAAATTGGCACTGTGCTTCACTGGCACAGACTTCAAGAACCTAGGGTCACTTCCCCGCTATGAGGCATTGAGTAGAACTTTATGATAAAAAGCTACTGTGAATTCAGGAATGCTTTAAAATTTATGTTTCATTAATCACAAGAACAACTACATAAATTTGAAATAGCAATATAACATGCATGAGACATTAATTCCACAAAAAAATGTTTATTTATAAGCTTGAGAACAATTTACAATAAGTCTGTGGCCCCTAGTTGGGATCTATTTATCTTGACCAATTCTCTTTTACAGGTAAGGGAGCTGAGGCCAATGAAGGCAAATTCTGCTTCCTGCCTTGTAGCCCAGCCTTTAAGAAGAATAATATATGTTTATCTTATTTGTGCTAGCTGTCGTTTTAGATTATGATGTTTCCTTTGAAGGAACCATATCTTTATATATACACATTCAAAGGGGAAAAAAGCTATAAATATAATTTTAGCTTTCTTATTGAGACCTCATCTGCTTTTAGTTTTTTTTATTTTCTTTTGAAGCTTTACCTTCCAATAGGACCCCAAGTTTCAGTGGCTCTAAAACAATTAGTTGTTGCTCTCAGCATAAATTTGTCCTTGTTTTATCTCCTTCCTTTCTAGGAACTAGAGAGTTATAGTAGGTGAGGAAATAGCAGAATATCAGTTGATTCTCCGAGATAGTAATAGAGAGTTATAGAGCAAGCTTGCCACCAGTCCAAGGAGCTATTATCAGTTAGTGTCTGTTCGACTATTACTGTGCTAACAAAAATCTAGTAATAAGTGGCATTTGCCTAGCATTGTAAAATTTGTAAGGCCCTTTCCAAAACCATTTCATTGGACCTTTACAACAACTTCGAGGTATGTACACGTATTATCAGTTTTGCAACTGAGGACACTGAGGCTCAGAGAAGCCGTGTAACTTTTCAGTGTCCCAAGTGGAATTTTCATTCATTTTTTCCTGGCTCCAAGTCCAATATTCACTACTATACACCACCACCTCTCTAGAAGTAACAATAGAATCAGGAAGAGTATTTAATTGGAGCAGAAAAGGAAACATAAAGCATATTTGAAATAATTTTTCAATCATTCCTCAAGTAAATTATTATCCTTATTCTTTTCATCCCACTCTATCAGAAAATTAGAGAAACTATGCAATGTTTTGGCAACTTTAAGTAGCTGCTGGGTGTAGTTTTTCTTCTGTAGCTCCTATGTACCATTGGCAAAGCCTACCCCTGAATAACAGAACTGACCCCTTGCTTATCTTGTTTTGTGTTTGGCTCCCACTTTCTTCCTTCTATCTCCTTGCCATGATAGCATCTTCTTGCCAATACAGCATCCTTCAGGAATTCAGAATTTCAGTTCACTTGCCATCTGGCTAATCCTGTCTGACTCTCAGAGTGCTAAAATGTAGAACTAGAAAGGACCTTTAGATAATCCAGCCCAATCCCCTTATTCTACAGAAACTAAAGCTCGAAAGGACAGGATAATGCTGGGGTCACACAGGTAATAAGTAGCGAAGATTCAAACCTGAGTCCTTTGATGACAAATTCATTTCTTTTCTTATTGACCCATAATGCCAATCATGAAAATTTCTACAAAATGAGTCATTTCCTACACTGTTTTCCCACAGACTTGATTATAGGATTTGAGTGAGCCCATCTTTAGCTTTTGCAGTTTAACTCTCATAATAAAATCATCCAAACCTAAGATAAGATGCAAACATCTGAGAATAGATTTGCTACACTCTGTAAGAATTCTCTGCATGTGATATTTCTATGAATTTCTAGTAAGTGTAACTAAAACTTGAATGCATTTTTACTTGTCTTTTTTAGATGTGCTGGATTTTGTAAGTATGAGGGAAAAGGTGGAATGTGTTCCATCAGCCTTAGTGAACCCCTTTTAAAATTGAGACCAAGAAAAGATCTTATAGAGGTAGGTATTCACAGATAAATCCTGACTCTTATCTTAGTAATTAGATATTACAACTAGAAGGGACTTTGGAGATATATTTTTATTTCCTCATTTTATAGATGAGTGTCTTAGGAATGCCTTAGCAGCTCTCCTAAACTCAGGTAGCAGAATGGTGCAAATGAGTAACCCAACATGAAAAGTATAAAGGAAAGTTATTTAGCTTTTAAGGATATAATCAAATTAAGGATATAATTATCAAATTCAAGACAAGTATACCTTGATAGTCCTGGTTCTGTTTTCACACAAGTTTGGTGAGTATTGACCTCCCCCAGTCACCTTTTCTCTCTCAGAGACATGCTTAAAAAGCTGACTGGAGGAGCAGCGAGGTGGGGCAGTGGATAGAGCACTGGCCCTTGAGTCAAGAGGACCTGAGTTCAGATGTGGCCTCAGACACATAACAGTAGCTGTGTGATTCTGGACAAGTCACTTACCCCCAATTGCCTCACCCCACAAAAAAAAAAAAGCTGACTGGTACAGCCAGCATAAAAGAACTCCCCTCATTTGAAGAGGCCAAAGAATTCTCACTCTCCACTTGTTTTGATCCCCAAATGCTAGATGCTTGTTATCCTGAGGGTCACTGTCAAAATTGTCAGCATAGGGTCTTTGTTGCTTGAAGCAGTATGTCTTTCTCCTCCCTAGCTTTATTTATTTAATTCTGATTAAAATTGACATTGACACACACACATTTGCTTTTGAGCTATTTGGTTGGTTACTCAACTTGCAAGGTAGATCTGTGCTGGAATGTAGAAGACTTTTTACATTGTTGTGATTGTCTCAAATGGCTAAAAACTGGTGCTGCAACATTACACTGTTATAAACTTTGAATGAATTAGGCTGACTGATAATTTTGAAGAGTTCATCCCTGAAGATTTTTACTGTGGCATCCTTTACACTCACCACAACAACTCAGGTGTCTATATCCTGTCTCCCTCTCTCCGTATTCCTCTCCCTAATCAAATTGCAACCATCTGCTTGTTTATGAGGCTGAGAATCCTTAGTGGCCGCAGAGCAGAATTAGGTCAGTTTGGCTATACGTTTAAATGTTAAGTACCTGTACTGCTGCTTCCAAGATGAAAAATTTATGTACTGTCCTAATTACATTACCAAGAGCTTGAAGGTGACTTAGACAAAAACCAGCAATATTTTTTTTCCAAGATGGAGAAGATCTAAATACATGACCTCGTAGATTATCTAGTTCAACTCCTGTACTTTTCAGTTGAAAAACTAATGACATGTTTGAAAGTAGGAAGAAATAGTTGGGTTTTCTTTATAATTAATAAGGAAAGGTTGTCATTTGATAAAGTAGGAAGATAATGGCCTCAAGTGAACATTTGCAGTTGGGCAAAAGGCAGAATGTTAAAAACAGAAGAAGAGAGTAGTAGCAAAAAAATAAGTGACAACAGAGCTTCATCCTTAAAGATAAGCTAAACCTTAGGCAGTAGAAAACAGGAAACTCATCAGTATTCTGCTGAGTCAGCTAAAGGTTGAGTTTAACAAAATTTTCACTTTAAAATGCTAGCAGAAATAAATTTTATGGGTTACACTTTGATGTACACTCAGTACTGTCAGAGAAGCTACATGTTCAATATAGTAGATTTATAGAAATGAAGTTTCTTAGAATAGTGCTTTGGTCTTTAAGGGACTATGAATTCCTTGATGTGAATGCTTCTTTCACCTTAGTGAAGACAGTATTTGTGCATATTTGGGCCTAAAAAGGTGCATAATTTGTTGGTTTTCCTTGTGGGGACAAGCCTTTTCACTCATAGCTAGGCCAGCCCCCAAATGATAGAAATACTTTCTGTCCTTGATCCCATACTTTTTCTGGCTTGTTCAGATCTGCTAGTGCTTATGTTCCAATGACATGGCCTTTGAGACCCCAAGGTCACCCATGTACCAGAGACTGGATTTGGAATAGGGTGAAAGTCATAAACCGTACTCAATAAATATTAAATCAATTGACTTGAAGTCTAGAAACTAATGTGTATGTGTGTATGTGTGTGTTTAAAAATAAATTTAACATGATTAACAGGATATTGATAAAACCTTATTTGCTTTGGAAGTTTAGAGTGAATCTCAAATTTGTGACCTATTAGTATTAAATAAGGTTTGTTTTATGTATGATGTATTTTGCATAACAACCTAAGAAAAAAAATTTGTTCAGCCTTTGTATAGTTGATAAATAGTTTTTCCAATAGTTTCTCCACTATACACATCTTGATGCCTTCACATGGGCTTTCACCAACATGTGGAATGCCCTTCCTCCTCACCTTTGCCTCTTAGAATCTGTAGTACACCTGAAAGCTCAGCTCAGGTGCCCTGTTTCCTTGAAGCTTTTTTTCTCTCCAACTGCAAAGACCTTCCCCCTCCAACATGCCCCCCCAATTACCTTGCATATAGTCTGTATCCTTTTTATTTATTTTTTTTATGTATTTGTTGTCTCCCCAGTGGAAGCTCCTTAAGAGAAGAAACTTTTGTTTTTTTCTTTTGTGTCTCCAGTACCTGACTTTTATAGTAGGTACTTAATAAATGTCTGTTGATTGATAAAATTTAGAATATCATTGATAATATAGAAGCTCATAATATTAATGCAAATTATAGCAATAACAATTCTGATTAAAATTGACATTGACATAAACTTGAAAGATTTTGAACAGTACATTATTATAAGACTTCATTAATTTTATCAAGCTGGTTTATTTTTAAGTTACAACAAGTTATATTTAAAATAGGTAAATATACCAACATACAAGGTAACTAGCTGAAGGAAGGAAAGATACCAAAGATATGGGGAAAAAATCTCAACCTTATTTCTACCCCCAAAGAAGGTGACCTGTATGCCTATTCCCATTTGTACAAAATTTTTTGGAGAGATTTCTATATATAGATTGAAGGTATACTCAGTAAAGGTGTATTAGTAGGGAACAAGAAGGCTTTTGCAAATGATTTTCAACAAAAGGTCACATCTACACCATTGACTACAAGATGTAAAGCATATAAGATCCTGTTATGCTTGTTGTTTATTGATTATAGAAAAACATTTGACTTAGTACAACAAATGCTGCTTACAATTTGTTCTATAACAAAGTGTCTCCTGTCCACATATCGAGATCATTCAGTATTCTGTGAAAGATTTAAGAAGAGAAATAGCGCTATTCAGTTCCCCTCTGATAATAAATATCAGGCAAGGTATAAAGCAGGGAGGTGTGTGCTCAACAAAATTATTCACCGTAGTGATGAGATCTAATATAGAGTCCTGGTCAAGGAGGGATTCCCTCTAAATGATGGAATCTTCCAGATGCCCCTGCTTGCAGATGAAATGTTAGTGATCACAGCAAACCCTGTGTTACCTCTTTGAAGAGATCTGTAATTGCTCGAAGGAGTTTGACCTATTCACCCACACAGGGAGAGTCAAATAAATGAGAAATGTCTATTGCTCAGATTTCATCAGGTCTCTGAATGGTCACCCAGTAGAGCTTGTCCAACAGTATGTGCATCTGGGACAGACAGTATATAGATGGAATATAAACTGGGCCCAGACTTGAAAAGAGGAGGAGAATGGGCTTGGATTTCTTTTAGGAAATTGCAAAGTACTTTTATTGACCTCAAGCTTCCCATAAAAGCAAAGGCCCACCTTTACAATACAAACACCTTATGGGTGGTGGTGGTGATGTGCAGCAGTGAGATGTGGAATACCAACGGCTCAGAAGAACTAAAAATGAATGTCACTTAAAAGGCAATGGAAAGGGGAGGGGCATGGTGGATGTGAGCAGGCTGCAGCATATGACCAGTCAAGAATTCCAGAGAAGAACAGGCGCAAAAGATGTCATCAAAGAATTATATGACACAAAGAGAATATGGGCAGGTCAAGAATGGCTAGAGTGCCTGACTGGTACGCCCACAATGTCAGGAGAAAGCAAAGAAGGCTTCTAGCATGTTGGAGATGCATATGAATATTGAGTAAATACACACAGTGATATAACAGTGTTAGGGCTTTTGTAAATTTTGTTTTCCCTCTGCTCACTACCTTCTCTCTCATCCTCCAAAAAAGAAAAAAATATTAAAGCATAAGCATCACCTTAGTTTAACAATATAATTTTTCTGCATTTTTCTCATAAAGGTCACAAGTTGAGTTGGTTTGCTTTTATCCTGTTTCAGACACTGTTACATGAAATGATACATGCATATTTATTTGTCACTAATAATGATAAAGATCGGGAAGGTCACGGCCCAGAGTTTTGTAAACATATGCATCGCATCAATCGCCTAACTGGAGCCAATATAACAGTAAGTACCCCACCTTTGGGAAATTTTATGATTGTGTTTATGTAGACAAATCAATTTTAATAAAATTCAAGGAGCGAGGTAGAGGAAGATGTTCTATTTACAGACCAAAAAATTGAGTCATAGAGAAGTTGTGATTTGTCCAGGACCATGTAGTTGAGTCGGTGGCAGAGCCAGAAATAGGTCCCAGGACCTCTGTCTTCCATTACCAGATGAATGCCATGTATTTTACTTCACATAGTTTTCTTCATGGAATAAACACATATTTTTGTTAACAGATTTCAAGTCAAAAGTGAATGGCAATCTTTTCATAACAGTAGTGTTTATTGACTTCCAAGTGTAATAAGGACACATGATGGAGAACAAAACATTCCAAGATGTTTACCTTCTATGCAGTTAGATGTCTTAACTGTAGTCAGAGTTTAGAGTTAGTTCCATAGTCAGGAAAAGTGGCTGATGTTGAAAATATTTTTTAGAAGATCTGTTTAATCATGTAGTGTTCTATCCCAGGTACTCTTTAGGAAGTAGAAACTAGAGACAAGTTCAACTGTGTTGTGATTCAGATAAGTTAGGCTGGTGTGATTTTACTGCTGTCATCATATAAATTCTGGAGGTATTCAGCTGATCATTCCTGACCGAGCCAAATATCCAGGAAGACACACACATGCAAACATACATGCACGGGTGCACGCGCACACACATGCACGCACACACTCACCTTATGAATATAACATAGGAAGAAATCTAAAACAAATGCAGCAAACTGCTACCATTGTTTCATCTCCCTGGCACTCGATGTCTGATCCTCTGATCCATCCTTTCTTTGATGATTAATTTGTAAGAACTCTGAGCAAAAAAGGGAGCAGTCCTGAGCTCTCCTTCACCAACATCTTTGCTCTTGGTACTTTCTTTTTCCCAAAATTAATGCTTTTTGAGTAAATGAAATTTGCTTTTGAGAGGATGAATGATTGTTGTTTGAGTGGAGAGGAATAAGGAACCGGGAGCAGGGTTTGCTGCAAAACAGTTTTTAAAAATTCAGCTTTCCTCCCCACTGGTAGCTTATCATTGATCAAGAATTAGGAAATTAGTTATTCTAAGCAAAACCACAAACAGTTAGACACAGTTTCTTCCATTGCCACTGTCTTGTTACATGGAAAGGAGCAGAAAGAACATTTACTTACTGTAGAAAATTGTGTGCTACAATGATTTCTACATTAGAAGCATTTGGTCATTTAGAACTTTTTGCTAGAATAATATTTTCTGTGGTGTGATTTTAGTTCAGATAATATAGCATCCAATTAAGTATTACTTCAGCCTTACTTATTTTGGTGGTACATAAGCTTTTCTTAGGTTTTGATCATTTTCCATCTGACCGCTGAAAGCAATAGAATCCAGAGTTATTAATATTATATTTCAGACTGAGTTCCATGAGGGCAGGGGAGATTGTGTTCTAATCCAAACTTTGTCTCTATTCCCCATTCCAAACACCCAACACAATAACGTGATATGTTTGTTGAATTTGCCGTTGAATTGAATGATTCAAACATTTCCTTAAATTTATTCAGCTCAGAAAGGATTTGTTTCCTCTGTTTGTGATCAAAATTCAACTTTTGATGCTTTCTGTCCAAAATTAGAACCTTTCAGAAGCCCAGGGGAGACTAAGAAGGTAAAACTATTAGCCTTAGAATTTTAGAGTTGAAAGGAACTTGGATGTTATTTAGTTTAACTTTTCTCATTTTGCAGATGAAGATGAAGAAACTGACACCCAGAAAGATGAAATACTGTCAGGCCAGCGTCATGGGCTGTGGGAGTGTCAGCACTGCATAGAGCCGGTGTTTTCTGGCTCTTTCCATTGTGCTATGCTGCCTTCCAATTTCTAATATATAATTTCTAAAGCACAGCAAGGTTGCTCATTTTAAATTATTTTGCATAGGTGTTATTGTTAATGTGATGAATAAATGCTAAAAAAAATTTTTTTGATGCAGATATACCACAGTTTTCACAATGAGGTGGACCTATATCGTCAACATTGGTGGCGTTGCAGTGGACCCTGCCGGAACAGAAAACCCTACTATGGTTACGTGAAACGGGCAATGAACAGAGCACCCTCAGCTAAAGACTTTTGGTGGCCTGAGCATCAGCGAACTTGTGGAGGCACATACATAAAGGTCAAAGAACCAGAGGGTTATTCAAAAACAGGCAAGAAAAAGACAGAGCTAGAAAAGCAGCCAGACTCTGGAACAGAAAGTAAAGATAAAGGTACCCTGACTTACGTTCTTCTGCCTCTTCTCCGTGGCATAATAGTAATAGCTACCATTTATATAACACTTTTTTGTTATATAAAACATAACTCTTTACCTATGTTGTCTCATTTGATGCTCACAACACTGTGATGTAGGTACTTTCCCCTATTTTGCAGATGAAGAAACTGAGGCCCTGAGGCAGGATTTGAATTCAGGTCTACCTGATTCCAAATCTAACACTGTACTGTGCCCCCTGCCTCTGTGATGTAATGTTAGTACTTTTCATATTATTAATTGGTATTCAGATAGCATTTAGCTTAATTTTAATATGAATTTGAAATAGGAAAATATTTTAAACTTCTGACAGAAGATTCTAGTTTTCATGAGATCATGTTAGGGGAATCTGGATTTCAGTTTATTCAAGTGAACAAAAGTAAAAATATTTCCCATTTATATTTGCTTTGGGTCTCCTTCCCTATCATTGCCTTTCATTGAACAGTACCCACAAATATGAGGAAACAAGGCAAAAAGATGATCAAAATGAAAGCAGTAATTCAAGTAATAACGCTAGACAATGACGCCTAGCTTATACCGTGCGTGATATCATTTAGGTTGTGCCCATGTGGTTTCTGTCGATAGTTAGGAGGGTTTGCCTTTATTTGTGTCCACATCACTTCCACAGTGCCTGGTACATGGCGAGAGGTTAGTAGATGCTTGATGACTTACTATTTGTCTTAGGTGGAGAGGATAGGTAAAGCATTTGTTAACCACTTGCTGTTTGTTAGGCACCGTACTAAGTGTTGGGCAGGCAAATACACTCGAGCAAGACAGCCCCTGTCCTCAAGGAGCTCACATTCTAACGAGGGGAAATACCTCTTAGAGAAGAGCTAGAGAGTAAGGGGGAGCATGAAAATCAGAGTGGAGGCATCGTGTTTGGTAACTGAGAACTAGAAAGGAAGGCGGAGGCATGATTCCATGGGGTGAGTCCAGAGTGGTTCCCATGGCTGAAGTCCAGACTTCCAGGGTGGATGAATATCAAAATGGAGATGGCATAGCTCAGAATTGGTAGCATGCAGTTACTAGTCATTTGTTCTCGTGTAATTTTATTCTCCATTTTGATTTTATTCTCTATTATTATTTTGCTTTTAAGGAAGTAGCATTGCATTCTTGCATTCACATATCTGTGAAGAAACTATGCTTCCTATTTGTGAGTGGTAGGTGCCATTTGAAGAAATATAGGGGTGTACTCTGCCTCTCTAAATAGAGGTACAGGAAATTATTTAGCAGTCAAGAGACTTCACAGTGTAATAATTTTACTGCTGTACTTTTGGCCAAGATGGTAACGTCACACCAAAATTCAGGGTAGGTATTCCCCCATCTGACATCAGGAATTACTTTTGTAAAACACACATTGGGTGAAATGACATTACAGGGAACACTTCATCCATAGGATCCATAGCCTAGAGGTTAGACTCTTCCCCTCACAGGTTAGCTTCCATCCACTTTGTACAAATCTTGTGTGTACCTGTTGATGTATTATCTGTGGCACTAGAATACACGTTCCTTGAAGGCAGGGACCGTTTTTGCCTGTGTTTCAATCCCTAGCACAGTGCTCGAATGTTGTAAATACCTAATAAATGCCTCTGTTGGTTGATTGGAAGGGAGCTGAGAGGCCATCCAGTCTAACAGTCTCGATTCTCAGATGAAGGACCTGAGATCCAGGATGATAAAGGGTCTGGCCCAAGGTCATAAAGAGTAATGGTCAAAGGCCAGATTTGAACCCAAGTCCTTTGCCTTCAGAGCCACTGCTTTTTCTGCTGTACTACATTGCCTGCTTAGTTTATTAGGAGCCACATGATAAATATGAGAGCAACCAAAATGCACACTACAAAAGCTTAAATTAAGTTTTTACAGATGCCTCACTTTGACTTTATGATGATAATACTGACCTCCCCTTGCCCTGTGCCAGAAGTCTCTTCTGGTTGGCAGAGGAGTGACTACAAAAGGGCGTTGCCTTTCCTGCTCATCCCCTTGGTGTGCTGGAGCTACAAGGCTTGCAGATTCTTACAAGGCTGTGCTATTCCTACGTATGTTTTTTTAAAAAGTTAATTTATTTGTTTTTAGTTTTCAGCAATCACTTCCATAAGCTTTTGAATTTAAAATTTTTCTCCCTCTCCCTCCCCACCTCCCTCCCCAAGACTGCACAGAATCTGATATAGGCTATACATATACATTCCTATTAAGCATATTTTCACATTAGTCATGTCGTAAGGAAGAATTAGAACCAATAGGAGGAACCACAAGAAAGAGGAAACAAAACAGAAGAGAAAAAAGAGCAAATAGGATGCTTCGATCTGCATTCAAACTCCATAGTTCTTTCTCTGGATGTGGATAGCATGAGACTTTTGGAGATGTCTTAGATCCTTGTATTGCTGAGAAGGGCTAAGTCTGTCAAAGTTAGTCATCATACAAAGTGGCTATTATTGCCTATGCACATTTTTTTCCTTTAATGGCTCACTATAGCCCTCTTGAAGAGAAGGCAGTGACTTAGAGGATAAAGTTGCCCACAAACTCTACTTCAGTGCCCTGGCCCTGAGCTTCTGATTAGCACTGTATGAAAGACTTTAAATCAAGCTTTTCTCTGCTACTCAGGATAGAGAATTGTATTTCTGGAATTTACTTTTTCTTTGAAGATTAGCTATGTTTGGAAGTGCTTAGAATATATAAAGGATATTTTTGTAAATAATGTATAGGATTCATATATGGTATATATATTTCACATATATAAGTTACTGTGTCTAATTCTTTCATTCTTGATGTTTTCTAGCCATCTGTCTTTTTCTTTCACTTTATTTTTGATCATGGTAGATTTCTGTCTTAATTCCACAGAGAATTAGCTCCTAAAGAATGGGAAATTTTAAATAAGCTTAACTCTAAAAAACTGCTTCTAAAGAAACTCATTTTTCCTCCATTAACAGCTTATTATTGTATAGCTCCATTTCATCTTAAAATCACCTTTGCATTTTGAAGTATCCATTAGCTTAGGTGAGTTAGCTTAATAAAGGTGTTCCTGGCTTTAAGTGAATGGAAGAATCTCATAATTAGTGACCTTCTTTTGCAGGTAAACTAAAGGAAGGAGGGAGCCAGCTTTTGACTCCGTTCAGTGGAAAAGGGTATCTCCTGGGAGGAACAAGCAGTACATCCTCACTTGGGAAGGTCATCAGCCCACATGCCATTAATCAAATCCAAGAATTGCCTGATCAGAACTGTCCACTGGTTGCCACGAGACCTAATCATAAAACTGAGTTTAAATCAAATTTGTCTCAGGAAATTAACAGCTCTAAAGATAAATTACCAAATAAGAGACCCAAAGTCGAAAACAAAACTGCTTTTGCCAATTTTTTTATCAAGAAAGAGCAAATGAACAGCATGTGTACAAGTGATAATGGCTCAAAATGCAGTTCATTCCCTGTCACCTCTTCTCAGAATTCCAGCAGTTTAATTAGTCACGAAAAAGCAGTGAGCTGCCCTGTTTGCCAGACTCAAGTTTTGGAGACAGAAATTAATGAGCACTTGGATTCCTGCCTTATGTGAGAAACCATTGCCAAAGCTAAGAGCTGCAAATGTCTTTGGGAAACAAATTTGTCTTAATTGTGCAGCAAAAATTAGTTCATAAGAGTATCATGCCAAATAATCAGAAAGTTAAAATGTTGTGAGTAATAGTGTGTGTGTTTGTGTGTGTGTGTATTATAAAATTGAGAAGGCGCTTTCTGTGGCTTCCAAAGTTAATTCTATATTTTTCTGTTACCACAATTTGAATAAATACTGGTTGTATATAGATGTCCCAGAAGTCCTTGTGTAATTTTAAAGCACCCTCTGTAGTGGTGCTAAATTTATGTGTTTCACATGGCACAGTTCACAATTTGTTGACTGAGTTTTATTATTTTGCAATTATGAATAAAAAGGATTTCAGAATATTGTATATAAGATAATAACTTGTTTTTCAGACATTTAAGTCTATTGTTTGTATGTCTTCAAAACTATGCCATTTCAAAGTTGAAATATATATATATGTACACACACACACACACACACACACACACACACACACACACACACATGTGTTGAGTCCTTTCAGGTGAAAAAACTCTCTCCTGAGAGGAACCAGCAGTGCGTCCTCACTTTAGGGAACTCATCAATTCACATGCCATTAATAAAACCCAAGAACTACTTCATCAAAACTGTCCACTGGTTGCCACAAGACCCAATCATAAAACTGAGTTGAAATCAAATTCATCTCAGGGAATTAACAGCTCTGAATAAGAGACTCAAAGCCAAGCTATAATATTGAGATGCTATCCAAAGAATTGAGAATGGTTTTCAGAGTTGCAAACACAGGGGACAAAACAAAGTTTAAAGCACTTTTTTGAACACATCTAACTTTCAAGTACAGGAAAATATATATCTTAATATGGTTTTGTTTGGGGTTTTTTTGGTAGGCAGTGGGGTTAAGTGACTTGCTCAGGGTCACAGAGCTAGTAAGTGTCAAGTGTCTGAGACCAGAATTGAACTTGGATCCTCCCAACTCCAGGGCCTGGACTCTATCTGCTGTACCACCTAGCTGCCCCTGGGTTGTTTTTTTTTTTTTTTTTTTAACATTCTAGTTCTTCACCATTAATATTTTGTGAAGACTTTGAGCAAGATTAGATTTTAGGCTTACCTGAGGTTCAAAGATGGTAAACTGACTTAATTGCTGTTGCCATTTTGCTGACTAATGTGAAAGAGCCATTATAAGTTTGCATGCTAATTACCAAGTGTAGGTAAGCTATCTCCTCAGGATTTTAGTATGTTGGAGTTACGTATGAATAAGAAAGGACTGATATGTATGCACGCATAGTAGAAAATCATACATAATGGTTATAACCTTTAAAGAAGAATGTTTTGAAGTGTAGTGTACAGTTTTTTCAATTTTCTTGGCTTTAAGAAAAATTTCCTAAGTTGTAATGATGAGACAATGAGCTTTCTAATTCAGTTTACCATTTATTTGAGAATAGATGGGGTATGTTAACTTATTTGAAAAACTAGTATTTATGCAGAAATGTTGCTGTTCTGATATGAATCCATGAGTAGGTTAACCTCCACAAAAGTCCTACTTCAAAGCTTCATTGGGATGTGGCGATGACTCTGAGGCTCTTGAAGGCTCTGCAAGCACAGAACAGAACTTTAACAGGTTCTAATCTATTACAAGGAGAAGCATCTAGGTGGTACACCAGATAGTGCTGCACCTAGAGTCAGGAAGAGCCGATGTAAAGCCTGGCCTCACATACTAGCTCTGTGATTCTGAGCAAGTCACTTAACCTCCGTGCCTCAGTTTCCTCGCTTATAAAATGAGAATAATAGCACCTACCTCCCAGGGTTATGAGGATAAAATAATGCTGTAAAGGGCTATGTAGATCTTAAAATGCTATTTAAGCCAACTATTCTATAAATGTCAGTTTTCTTTGGTCACATCTACAGATCTCTCATCTTCCATCTCATTTTCACTATCTCAATCTCAGTCTTTTTGTTTTAAATCTCTCACTCGAGGCTTCAATCTCAGTCACTCCTCTTCAGTCTTGCTTTTATCTAAGATCAAACTCTGTTTGACGTTTAAAGCCCTTCAAACCTGGTCCCAAGCTCTTTTTCCAGTATTAGATAATACTCCTCTTCACGTGCTCTATGACCCAGCCAAACTATCTTTCTTTAATTGTTGTATGACACGCTCCCTCTATTCCTGATGCCTGGCAGAAGAGACAGCTGTAGCATAGTGAATAGAGGTGTAGCCTTGGAACCAGGAAGACCTGGGTGTAAGTCCAACATCTGATACATATCATCTCCATGACCCAGGGCAAGACTCTTGAGTTGCAGAGGAGCTGCTGACCTACATTGTTAGAGGGAGTCTCCTCACCTATGTGTTCTCTGTACAGATGAGAACTTACCCTCCTGTTCCCTCTTCAATCTCTCTTGTTGGATCATTATTTATCTCCTGCCTCCTAAACGTGAGTTTCCCTCCAGCTGTTCCTGGATCCCTTTCTTGCTTTGTGAGCTTATCTGCTGCCATGGATTTAGTTCTCTCCATACCTATGACTTCCAAATCAAATCTGCCTGCTTTAATTTCTCTCCTCGGGTGGTAGGTAGTGCACTGAATAGAGCCTGGGCCAAGAGCCAGGAATACCTGAGTTTAAATCTGTCCTCAGACACTAGCTTTGTAACTTTGGGCAAGTTACTCAGCTCTGTTTGCCTCAGTTTCCTCATCTGTAAAATGAAGTGGAGAAGGAAATGGCAAACCACTCCATCATCTTTAAGGAAACATGGAGTCACGAAGACTCAAACAGGTTGGGACTAAACAAAAAAATCTCTCTTGGATTCCAGTCCCATATTTCTAACTTGCTGCTAGACTTTTCCAATTGGATGTCCTGTTGATAATTGAGACTCAGCACTATTCTCATCTCCCCTACCTGAACCCTCCCCTGGTCTATACTTCATTATCCCTCAGCTGGACTTTTATAATAACTTACTACTCGGTCTCCTTACTTCTAATATCTTCTTCCTCGTTGTTATGTAGTTTTTCAGTCATATTCAACTCTTCCTGCCCCCATTTGGGGTTTTCTTGGCAAAGATACTGCAGTGGTTTGCCATTTCCTTCTCCAGCTTATCTGACAGATGAGGAAACTGAGGCAGAGTGAAGTGACTTGCCTAGGGTCACACAGCTAGTGTCTGAGGTCAGATTTAAACTCAGGAAGAGGAGTCTTCCTGACTCAGTCTATCCACTGTGCTACTTAGCTGCCCTCTTCCCTCTCCACTCCATCCTTTAAAGAGCTATCAAAATAAACTTTCTAAGGCTCAGGTCTGACCATGTCACCCCCATCGTCTAATACCTTTAAGAGTTACCCTATTTTCTCTAGGATATAATACAAACTCCTAGCATTCAAGATTCACTGCAATCTTTCCCTAACCTATCTCTGCATAGATCTCTCACATCATGCCACTTTTTGTGCTATACGTTCCAGCCAAGCTGGAATACTAGCCCAGTGGTTTTTTTTCTAAGTTGCAGTAATACCTCCTCCATCAAGCCTTCCTGATTCTCAAATTTCCTTGTACTCTACTTCTCTGTGCACATAATGTATCCCTCCAGTGCTAGAAAGGCAGCAGGTGTCAACTTTTGACCCTCTGGCACTTGATGAGCACATTGTGCAAAGTAGATGCTTTATATGTGTGGAATTGAATTAGAGAGGAGACCTCAGGAACCATAAGGAAGTTAAGTATATTTGCTAGCTTTCATAAAAAAAGTTCATCTAGGGGCAGCTAGGTGGTGCAGTGGATAGAGCACCAGCCCTGAAGTCAGGAGGACCTGAGTTCAAATTTGGTCTCAGACAAAACACTTGACACTGACTAGCTGTGTGACCGACCTTGGGTAAGTCACTTAACCCCAATTGCGGGGGGGGGGGGGGGGGGGGGAGGGGAGTTCATCTACCCTGACAGGTGGTGCTTGGTGGCCTGGTGATCTGTTTACTGTGAAAAGATTCTCGAGGTTTCGTGTAATTTTTAGATTACAAACTATGGGTGACCTTTTTTTATGCTATTAGGGATTGAGCAGCAATAATTCAGATTTTAAAATGGCATTTTTTTTGAAATGGCAGTTTTTGAAATGTGTTTCAAATATTAATGATAGTGAAGAGTGGGAAGGAAAAGTGGTTTAAAATATTTTAATTAAAAGAAATTAAGCCATCCATAGTAAATATTTCACATACTTATTTTATATAATTTCTTTCCTAGCTATACACAAATACTATTCCCTATAGGGTGCCACCTATATTCAGGCTATTTCAGTGTACCAAGATTAATATAGTGTAATTGACACTGGCTACTTAATATATTCTTTAAAAACATTCTTATTGTTCTCCTAATCTGTTTTTTCCTCTGATCTAGTTTGTATTGTGGCAGTGATAAAGTAATTAACTTGCTATGTAGAAGTTTTAGATCCATTTTCCTATTCCTAAAATATGGAAATTAGCACCAAGGGGATTTTAAAAATTACTATACATATATGTAATTGAATGAATGAGCGTTCATTAAGCACCAGCCAAGCACTGCTAAACATTGGGGATACCAATTACATGCAAACAAGAGTCCCTGTCCTCAAGGAGCTTACTTTCCAATGAAGGAAGACAACAGCAAGAAGTGTTTTGGACTGGGAAGTCAGAAATAAGGAATGGTGACTGCCCTACTACTTCAGTTGGTTTACATGTCCTTAATGGGAATTAATTTGATTATTTACAGGGTGTTAATTTGATTACCTTCTCAGAACTGGGAGAGGGAGGTAGAATGACTTCAGTGGCATGTCATAGAGACAAGTATATTTCATAGGGTTGACACCTTAAAACATTTTTTGAAGGTTTTTCTATCTTTTCTCATTAGACCACACTTGGTTAGCTCAGGTTATTATATATTATATGAGACAGATGTTGAAGTGGATGGTGGGATAGCTTTGGAGTCAGAAGAACTAGATTCATTTTGAACCCGCAGATACCTTCCCCCTCTCTCCACCCCATCTTCAGAGATACCCAATTTTTGTCAAAGGCATCACATACTTCAAGTCGGCCAGGCTGAAACCCAGTGTTGTCCCTTTCCAATCCATCTTCCACTCAGTTGCTGGGGTGACTTTCCTTAAACACAGGTCTGAGTATGTCACACCCTCTCTCCCATTCAATTAACTCTAGTGCCTCTATTACTTTCAGGATCAAATATAAAATATTCTGTTTTGAAATTAAAGAACTTCAAAACCTCGCCCTAATCCACCTTTCCTGTCTTATTACACATTATTCTGCTCTCCTTCATACATGCCAAACTGGCCTTCCTACTATTCATTTACAAAACTCCATCTCCCACCTATGTATCTTTCCACTGGTTTCCTTCTCCCTCCCCACCAGGCCTGGAATTTATTCCCTTCTCA